GTGAAGACATCCTGATCGTCCTGGCGAAGCGAAAGCTCGTACGCGTTCTTCTCGCGGGTTGACTGGAAGCCACGCTTCAGCGTATCCAGAGCGCCCTCCAAGCTGTTGATCCGAGTCTGCATGTCGGCCATGCCCCCTTCGGCCTCACTCTTCATACGCTCTTTGTCGGCGAGGTCCGAGCCCAAGTGTTCCAGGTCTGTCACCACCTGGCTGAACACCATGCGGTTGCTCTCCTCGAACTCCTTGCACTCGACCTCGATCTGGTCCAACTGGAGCCACGCGTCATACATCATGTTGTTCAAGTACACGCGTCCTTTGGCCAACGAGACCTCGCTGAACTGTCCCGCGGCCGCCGCGTGCTCCCCGTTCGACAGGTGCAGCAGGGACGTCACATCCTTGGGCAGCTTGTCCTCCAACATCGGCAGCGCGTCGCTCAACTTCATCTTCTTGTGCAACGTATTCGCGATGTGCCGCGTGGTGGTGTGCTTCCTCTGCAGCATGCCCTGCACCATGTAGCCCACCTTCGCGCGCAAGCTGGTGCCGGTATCGACTCGCTGCGCCGCGTCGGCCGCGCCGGAGCGGAGCAGGGCAGCGCGGACAGGCGCACAGAGGGCGAGGGCGAGGGCGAGGTCCAAGATCAGCTTCATCGCTGCTGGCTGGACTGGTCTGCTTCGTTCGATCTGGAGTTGGGTGCCAATCCCTCCGATGCCGCGGTTCGGGAGGCACCACTTGAACCAAAATGGGTACAGACCGCCTACTGCTCCTGGTCCTCCTTATCGAGCTTCGCTTGCTCCCTCCTCGCCCCATCCCTTCCCTCCACCTGCGTGAGGGGTGTGCCAGACATGCGCTTGGGGACGCCAGGCGGTCGCGCCCAGTGAGGCCGTCGGTGGAGTTCCCTAAGGGGGTACGCAGCGTGTGAGGGGCATGCAAACATGTCCTCAAGGACGCCATGCGGTCGCGCTCACTGGGACCGTATGTTGAGCTTCCATACAATACAATACAACTGGGGGGACTCAATGGGCACAATACCATACATTTGAGGGGTCTGGATGGTGGGGTTTTGGACGGGTGCGGAGATCTGCAGATGCGCGCCGAATTGCATTCATTGTGCAGGATGATGAGTGTTGGGCCGATGTGCGCGGCCTCTGAACCCCCAGATCAGTCACCCCCACTCAGTCTGGGGACCCCCCTCCCGAGGGAAAAGAAACATGACAAGGGCGAGAGGAAACGACAAAACAAGGCGCAGGGGTAACACAACAAAACAACAACAAAAAACAAAAAAAAACAGTTCCGAGGCCCGAGACAGCGGAAGGGAACAACAAGAAGCGAGAAATGGAAACAACAATTGCGGGGGGGGGCGGAAACCGCTCTCGGGCGGGACAGCATATAGAAGGTTGACGGGAAGATGGCACGGCACTCGGGCACGGGGCGCCGCAGATCAAAACCGAGGACCCAACACCACGGGATGGTGGGCCCGTTTCCGTCAGGACCCGCTTACACCATGGCGGTCCAGGAGGCTGCAAGGGTGAAATTCACGAGGGTGGGGCACAGCGTTGAAGTCGGCCCTGGGTGGCTCCGATATCTTCCTGCGTAGCCCAAGGTTGCCCCCACGATGGCCCAGACGGCCTTCAGTGTGGCTCCGAGAAGGCATGGATGGCCCAACGATGGCTGTGACATGGCGCCTGAGCCCCACGGAAGACGGAAACCATGGAAGTGGAGAGAAGTTTCCTGTCTCCTTAAGTTTCTGGGCCCCCAGGAGCGCAGTGGTGTAGGACGGCTTCAGGCATTCAGGACGGCTCCGAGGGAGGCTCCCAAACGCGTCTGAAAGGGCACAGGCGAGCCCCAAGAGGGGCTCAAAGGCCCCTAAGACGCCCAGGAGGAAGTCCCAAGATGGCTCCAGGAGGCACCCAGAGCCTCCACAGTGGTGATGCCTGCGGGTCTTCTCGTGCTGACTCCAACTTCGATGACGGTTGATGACTAATCCGTGCCACTGCATTTCCACTCTCACGAAAAGCTTGCTTGGTATTTAGCTGTGCGTTGGTGGGAATTCTGGAAATACCCGAAGCGACAAACGCAACGTGCTAGCCTGCTGTTCTATGCACTTGACGAATCTTGTGCGAATGCAACATGCATCCTACGTGGGCCATTCAGACACAAGAGGCCAGCCTGTACAGCAGATTTGCGGCGCTCTTCGGAAGCCTGTGGAGGCACTGCAGCGCGGGACCCAGGATAGCTCACTCGTCGAAGAGGTCTCCGAACATGCTCGGGTTCATGATGTAGGTGGAGGCGTACTCGTTGTAAACCCAGGCGCCGCCTGGACACGACAGGTCGACGCGGGAAGCCAGCGCTTGGTTCCACAAGTCATCAGTGACGTCGATTGCCTCCGAGTAGCAGGTCCCCGCCCAAAGACCCCCACTCTCGTACGCGAAGGCCAGGATGCCCGCCCCCCTTACCCGCTCCATGCATGCCTCGGCGGAGTCGACCCTGCCCATTTCTCTCCACGGGCCGCAGCTGTCGGAGGGGTAGCCCTCCTCACGGATCTTGAGGTAGCCCCGCTGCTGCTCCTCCTCCAACTTGGCCGACGGCGAGAACGCACGGGGGCAGAACTTCACCAGCAGCTTCTGGGCGTACTCTGGTTCGTTGTTGTCGAGCGCCGTGAGGCCAGGGATGCGCTCGTAGTTGGTCTCCCACGGATCGCTCGCCCAGCCCCTGAGCACTACCAGATTCTGCGTCGTGGACTCGGCGATCGGGGCCATGAAGATCTGCACGCCCTTGTCCTTCATCGCCGTTGCCAGCATGGTCGTGCGGTACGCGTTGGTCCACTTGCCGTCCGAGATCACCATGACGGCGCTCTGAGCGTCCTCACGGCCGTCCGCGAACATGTTGTCGGCCGCCTTGAGGGCCTGCATCATGTTAGTGAAGCCGCGCTGCCACTGCAGCCCTTCGATCGCTGTGCTGACGGAATCAAGGTCGCTGGTGATCGAGACCACCTCCAGGGCCGGCGCGACGGTGCCGTTGTCGAAGTACTCGCCGTTCCCAAACAGCACCAGCCCGATGCGCATGTCCTCCACGCCGTAATATTTGCTCTGGTACCTGCTGGTGAGGTTCAGGGCGAAATTCTTGATAATGTCGAAGCCCTCCTGCTTCACGGAGCCACTGCCGTCGAGCGCAATGACGAGGTCCTGCCTGGCGATGCAGATCTCGTCACCAACGCAATCCTGGGTGTTGCACTGCTGCATCTGGAAGCGGTCGGGGTGTTTCGACCCTGGGCACTTGCCGTTCGCGCGGATGGGGATGTCCACCTTCCGCACGCGCTCCTGGATGCCGCCGCCACAAGCCATCGAGCAAGGCTCCCACGCAGTCCACGGCATGAGCGTGCAATCGCGGTCGCACGAACCAGTGTTGCACGGCTGCTCCTCGAGTGTGGTGTCACACTCCGTCCCACCGTTCTTGGGCTTCACGAGGATGGAACGGGTCTTCCCCTGGACGCCGCCCCCGCACGCCTTGGAGCATGCGGACCAGCCGGACCACTCGGACATGGAGCAGTGAACTGGGCAGTGGAACTGGTTACACTTCATGCCGACGGTCCCGTTCGTGCGCTCGAAGTACAAAGGGGGGCACGCCATGCCGAAAGAGTTCGGGGAGATGATGACCTGCCTGCTGAGATACTTCAGGCCACCGCATGTATCGACGTCGACGCCCCCCACGTCGGCAGGGCAGCTGTCGTCACAATCTACCGATCGTGAGTTGCCCCTACCGTCGGCGGTGCACGGCCCCGCGGACCAGTCTGTCACGTCGCAATCCTTGATCGAGTGCGTGGGCGAGACTGCACTGTACCGCATCAGCGCATTGCGCACGGTCCGAGTCCCGCAGATGTTCGTGTAGAGGATCTCGCTCATGCGCTTTCTGCAATCCTCCATCTTGATCGTGAACGCTCTCTCGATGTCGCGGTGTTGCTGCTGCTTCTCGCGCGTCGCCGCCGTGAGCGAGTTGATCTCGGAGATGGCCTCGCCCAACATTTCCGTGAACTTCATCTGATTCGACCTCAGCGTCGCGATCTGTTCGTTCATGTTCTCCTTCTCGCCCTCGTAGGCGTCGCGGTTGTGCTGCATGATGTAGGTCAGCTCGTCCACCAGGTCCTTGAACTTGCCCCACTCCAACGCCATGATGTCGTGGAGGTAACCGCAGTTGACAATGCCGTTCAGACACTTCCTCGAGCCGCCCTTCGGTTGCTTGACCCTCTGCGGCGGGGGCGCCTGAGCGATCTGCAGCAGCGAGGGCGCCCCCGACTCGGCGGCCCCAAGGACTTCCTCGAGCGCCTTCTGCACCCGCGGCGACCGCTTCAGCTTCGCTGCCATGGAGGAATCGTTTACCACCAACTCAGTGCCATTGTCCGTGTCGCACACCTGGAACTGCTGCGCGAAGGAGTACGTGTCGTCTCCGTAGGCGTTCGGGCACTTGGACAGCTGCAGGATGGCGGTGAAGACATCCTGATCGTCCTGGCGAAGCGAGAGCTCGTACGCGTTCTTCTCGCGGGTTGACTGGAAGCCACGCTTCAGCGTATCCAGGGCGCCCTCCAGGCTGTTGATCCGAGTCTGCATGTCGGCGATACCCCCTTCGGCCTCACTCTTCATACGCTCTTTGTCGGCGAGGTCCGAGCCCAAGTGTTCCAGGTCTGTCACCACCTGGCTGAACACCATGCGGTTGCTCTCCTCGAACTCCTTGCACTCGACCTCGATCTGGTCCAACTGGAGCCACGCGTCATACATCATGTTGTTCAAGTACACGCGTCCTTTGGCCAACGAGACCTCGCTGAACTGCCCCGCGGCCGCCGCGTGCTCCCCGTTCGCCAGGTGCAGCAGGGACGTCACATCCTTGGGCAGCTTGTCCTTCAACATCGGCAGCGCGTCGCTCAACTTCATCTTCTTGTGCACCGTTCTCGCGATGTGCCGCGTGGTGGTGTGCTTCCTCTGCAGCATGCCCTGCACCATGTAGCCCACCTTCGCGCGCAAGCTGGTGCCGGTATCGACTCGCTGCGCCGCGTCGGCCGCGCCGGAGCGGAGCAGGGCAGCGCGGCCAGGCGCACAGAGGGCGAGGGCAAGGGCGAGGTCAAAAAACAGCCGCATCACTGCAGGCTGACTAGCCTAGTCTGCTTCGTTGGGTCTGGGGCTGGGCCGCACCACTTGAGTCTTAGTGGCTGAGCAATTGTAGTACTTTCTCATCATCCTCTCCCCCTTCTGTCTTCATGCATCCTTCTGTCTCTTTTGGGCCCCCTCAAACTATTTCTCCTCCCATTCACATCAAATCTTTCTTCTTTCCCGCCCAGATTCCATGTGCACCGTGGTCTTCATCCCCCCGACGTCATCTCCGTTTGAATACTTGCGCAATTTTTTGTGTATATATACATATATCAGATTGATGGGGCCGAACGGTCATTCATTGACCCTGGGTGCGTGACTGAAAAAACAAAAGTGGTTGGGATTATGCTTGTTGCGTCGTTGTTGTTGTTGCTTTTGCTGTTGCGGTTGCTGTTATTGCTGCTATTGTTGTTGTTGGTGTTGTTGTTGATGTTGTTGTTGCTTGCTGTCATCGTCCCACCCTCGACCCACCCGCGACCCACCCGCAACCCACCCCACGACCCACCCTGCGACCCACCCCGCGACCCACCCCGCGACCCACCCCGCGACCCACCCGCGACCCAACCCGCGACCCAACCCGCGACACACCCCGCGACCCACCCGCGACCCACCCGCAACCCATCCCGCGACTCATCCGCGACCCACACTCGACCCACCCGTGACCCAACCCGCGACCCACCCCGCGACCCACCCGGCGACCCACCCGCGACCCACCCGCGACCCACCCGCGACCCACCCCGCGACCCACCCGCGACCCACCCCCGATCCATCCGCGACCAACCCAGATTGCTTCAACGAAAATCGGCGCCCGCGGCGGGCTCGTTGCATAATTTGTGGCACGTTGGCGCCTGCGGCGGGCTTTTCTCCAGAGCCTCGCAGACTGCCGACGCCGCCACCGCCCCCTCCGTCTTATCCGCATCTGCGGTGTCCAGGTGCTCGCCCCCTGGCCTCCTGCCAGCCCCGCGCCAAGGGGCGAGCATATGCACGGGCGTAGCACCGCGCTTGATGCGATGCATTCGGCTGGACCAGGCCGGGGAAGACCCAGTACTGCATCCAATGTCGAACATGATCCATGTTCCAACGCAGTCGCTGCATGATGCGCCCTGAACCCCAGCCCGACGAATTGAGCCTAAGCCCAATACCGAACGTGATCCACATTCCAACGCTGTGGCTGCATGATGCGCCCCGAACCCCAGACCAACGAATCCGCCGATCACTCCTAAAACTGCCATCGAACTATCCTCACGCCCCTCGTTTAAAACTGCCAGCGAGATATCCTCGCATCCCTGACCTCAAACTGCCAGCGACATATCCTCACAACCCTTCCTTAACATTGCCAGCGAGATATCCTTACCCCCTGGCCTACAACTGCCAGCGAGATATCCTCACACCCTCTGACTTACAACTGCCAGCGAGATATCCTGAGCCCCCTGGCCTAAAACTGCCAGGGCAATTTTCTCTCACACCTCTTAAAACTGCCAACGAAATAACCTCATACCCCTCGCTTTAAACGGCCAGCGAAACATCCTCACACCCCTCGCTTAAAACTGCCAGGGCAATTTTCTCACCCACTGGCCAAAACAACTGCCAGCGAAATCTCCTCATCTCCAAGCCTAAAACTGTCAGCGAAATCTCCTCAACCCCCTGGCCTAAAACTGCCAGCGAAACATCCTTACACCCCTCGCTTAACACTGCCAGCGAAATCTCCTCGCACCCCTCGCTTAACACTGCCAGCAAAAATCCTCGCACCCCTCGCTTAACACTGCCGTCGAAATATCTTCACACCCCTCGCTCAAAACTGCCAGCGAAATCTGCTAATCTCCTTGCCTAAAACTGCCAGCGAGATATCCTCAACCCCCTGACTCAAAACTGCCAGCGAAATATCCTCACCCCCTGGTCTACAACTGCCAACGAGATATCCTCTACCACCTGACGTAAAACTGCCAACGAGATTCCCTCACCCCCCTGACTTAAAACTGCCAGCGCAATACCGTAGCACCCCGCACTTGCGGACAAGAGGGGGCGGGCGCGGGCGACGCGGGCGTCGAGCCGGCGGACCTCGTGGCCACCACCTTCCCTGTCGATGGCGCCCTCCTCCTCCTCCTCCTCCTGCTCCTCCTCCTCCTCCTCCTCTTCCTCGTCCGCGTCCTCGTCCTCATCGTCGTCGTCGTCGTCCTTCTCCTCCTCCTGCTCCTCCTCCTCCTCTTCCTCCTCCTCCTCCACCTCCTCCTCCTCCACCTTCCCTGTCGATGGCGCCCTCCTCCTCCTCCTCCTCCTCCTCCTCCAAACCAATGCGAGGAAGCCCGCCGCAGGCGCCGATTTGCGTGCTCTGACAAGTTCAGCGCGGGGGGAATCGCTGGTGGGCCACCCGGAACGAATGCAAAAACAGCCCGCCGCAGGCGCCGAATTGTTGGTTTGTTCAGTGAACGTAGTTTGGGTCGTGGGTGGGTCGGGGGCTCTCCAACTCCATCGGGAAGGAATTCGAAAACAGCCCGCCGCAGGCGCCGAAAATTATGATTTGTACACTGAACTCGGTTTGGGTCGCAGGTTCTCCACTTTGAACGAATGCAACAAAAAACCCGCCGCAGGCGCCGAAATCTTGGCTTGTTCAGTGAACGTAGTTTGGGTCGCGGGTGGGTCGCGGGCTCTCCACCTCCACCTGGAAGGAATTCAAAAACAGCCCGCCGCAGGCGCCGAACATTTTGATTTGTACACTGACGCGGTTTGCGTCGCGGGTGGAACGAATGCAAAAGAAGCCCGCCGCAGGCGCCGAAAATTTTGGGTGGGTCGCGGGGTGGGTCGCGGGTGGGTCGCGGGGTGGGTCGCGCGCGGGGTGGGTCGCGGGCGGGTCGCGGGTGGGACGACGACAACAACCACAACAACATTGACAACAACAACAAGAATCCGCATCGCGGAATTCCACTTCAATCACGCACCCAGGGACAGTGAATGACCGTTCGGTTCAGCACCCTCACTCTGATCCTCGCTTAAAACCGCCAGCGAAACATCATCGCACACCTCGCTCAAAATTGCCATCGAAAGATCCTCACACCCCCTGGCTTACAACTGCCAGCGAGATATCATCAGCCCCCTGGCCTAAAACTGCCAGGGCCATTGTCTCACCCCTCGCTTCGAACTGCCAGCGATATATCCTCACACCCCTCGCTTAAAACTGACAGCGAAAGATCCTCAAACCCATCGCTTGAAACTGCCAGCAAGATATCCTCACCCACTGGCCAAACAAAACTGCCAGCGAAATCTCTTCACGCTCTGGCCTAAAACTGCCAGCGAGATATCCTCAACCCCCTGACCTAAAACTGCCAGCGAGATATCCGCAACCCCCTGACCTGAAACTGCAAGACACGCGCTTGGGGAAGCCCGGCGGTCGCGCCCAGTGAGGCCGTCGGTGGAGCTTCCCAAGGGGGCACGCAGCATGTGAGGGGCATGCAAACATGTCCTCAGCGACGCCCACTGGGGCCGTATGTTGAGCTTCCATACAATACAATGCATCTGGGGGGACTCAATGGGCACAATCCAATGTTTGAAGGGTGTGGATGTTAGGGTTTTGGATGGGTGCGGAGATCAGCAGATTTGCACCGAATTGCATTCATTGTACAGGATGGTGAGTGCTGGGCCGATGTGCGCGGCCTCTGAACCCCCAGATCAGTCACCCCCACTCAGTCTGGGGACCCCCCTCCCGAGGGAAAAGAAACATGAAAAGGGCGAGAGGACACAACAAAACAAGGCGCCAGGGGTAACAAAACAAAACAACAATAACAAAAATCAGTTCCGAGGCCCGAGGCAGCGGAAGGGAACAACAAGAAGCGAGAAATGGAAACAACAGTTGGAAACAACGTGGCGGGGGTGTGGAAACCGCTCTCGGGCGGGACAGCATATAGAAGGTTGACGGGAATATGGCACGGCACTCGGGCGCGGGGCGCCGCAAATCAAAACCGAGGACCCAACACCACGGGATGGTTGGGAAAACACCTCGAGGGCCCGTTTCCGTCAGGACCCGCTTACTCCATGGCGGTCCAGGAGGCTGCAAGGGTGAAATTCACGAGGGTGGGGCACAGCGTTGAAGTCGGCCCTGGGTGGCTCCGATATCTTCCTGCGTAGCCCAAGGTTGCCCCCACGATGGCCCAGACGGCCTTCAGTGTGGCTCCGAGAAGGCATGGATGGCCCAACGATGGCTGTGACATGGCGCCTGAGCCCCACGGAAGACGGAAACCATGGAAGTGGAGAGAAGTTTCCTGTCTCCTTAAGTTTCTGGGCCCCCAGGAGCGCAGTGGTGTAGGACGGCTTCAGGCATTCAGGACGGCTCCGAGGGAGGCTCCCAAACGCGTCTGAAAGGGCACAGGCGAGCCCCAAGAGGGGCTCAAAGGCCCCTAAGACGCCCAGGAGGAAGTCCCAAGATGGCTCCAGGAGGCACCCAGAGCCTCCACAGTGGTGATGCCTGCGGGTCTTCTCGTGCTGACTCCAACTTCGATGACGGTTGATGACTAATCCGTGCCACTGCATTTCCACTCTCACGAAAAGCTTGCTTGATATTTAGCTGTGCGTTGGTGGGAATTCTGGAAATACCCGAAGCGACAAACGCAACGTGCTAGCCTGCTGTTCTATGCACTTGACGAATCTTGTGCGAATGCAACATGCATCCTACGTGGGCCATTCAGACACAAGAGGCCAGCCTGTACAGCAGATTTGCGGCGCTCTTCGGAAGCCTGTGGAGGCACTGCAGCGCGGGACCCAGGATAGCTCACTCGTCGAAGAGGTCTCCGAACATGCTCGGGTTCATGATGTAGGTGGAGGCGTACTCGTTGTAAACCCAGGCGCCGCCTGGACACGACAGGTCGACGCGGGAAGCCAGCGCTTGGTTCCACAAGTCATCAGTGACGTCGATTGCCTCCGAGTAGCAGGTCCCCGCCCAAAGACCCCCACTCTCGTACGCGAAGGCCAGGATGCCCGCCCCCCTTACCCGCTCCATG